TGCTCAATATTCCAGAGAAGCTGCTGGGTTTTTTTTTTTAAAAAGGAGATGAAAACCCAGGCTTTTGATTTTTACATGTTGACAGCTAATTCAAATAAATGAAAAGTTGCAACTGAAAATACTTGAGGGTCAAAAAATGTCCATGGATTGACTTTGGCCACAGGCTGCCAACCTGCAATGGATGACACAGAGGAGGGCTGCTGCACACAACAGACAGAGCAGTGGGAAAGTGCAAGGAATGGGCAGATCCCGATCCGAGGAAGCTGGAAACGGAGCAAGCTAGCCCCACCCCGCAGGGTCCCGTCCATGCTCTGTGCAGTGGCTCTGACCTCTGTAATCTCAACCTGGCTCAATAAACATAACATGGTGGACTTCACACAATCCTGGAAAGAGGCTGAGCTCTCCTCAGCCAGGGCGCCCACACAGACGGCAACAGTGAGGAAGAGGAGGAAGGGGGGGCCCAAGAGCAGATGAATTAAAGACCACCCAGAACTTTAACCAGAACCAGCAATGTCCATTCAAAGGCTTAACTTCTGTTCAACACTTTAAGAATATATGCAGCAAGCGCTACCCCACTACCAGAGAGAAGGTAAGATTTCTAAGATGTAAGAAGCAAAATAAGAACAACACGGGATCTTTTTCCCCAGAGCTCACCAATCCTGCCAAGACTCACCTACGATCCGCTGTCCATCCTCTGTCCTCAGCCGAACTATCTGCATTTTCACGTTTGTGCCGCTGACAGATGCCAGAACACCCTCGACCTTTGTCCAGACACTCAGCACTGAGCCACATAATACATAATACGTGCGGCAACGAAGACCTATTTCACAAACTAATCCCAAGCTTGCTTTTTTGCAATTGCCACGCCTAGGAGAGAGGGGAGAATATTTATACACACACACAAGGCTCCAAGGTCTGCCCTAATGCCAAGTGGAACACGACTTCCTTTACTGAGAGTTCCTTCAAGTGTAGTCCTTTCGACACACTGAATGTCCTTTCCAATGTTAAGCTGTCACTACTGATTTTTAAAATTGCAGCTATTTCTGGGGCCTAACTCCCTATAAAATGGCTGATTTACTGATTTCATATCCATTAGTTTATTGTGGATATTACTACCTTAACGCTAGCTGATAAAATAATCCTGCCAGTTATTTCTATAGTATTTCAGGTAAGTGGGAAAGGCTTCAGCAAACAAAAGCATATAAATTTATTTTTAAAACTGTGAAAAAAGATATCAAAATTATTCTCACAATTCATCAATAATATCTTTACAGTTTTAACTCAAGGTGAATATACTGTATTAGGGGACTTTTCCTGCTAACACTCAAAGCACATGTTTGAGAGAGGATTTTTGTAGGTTAACCTTTAATGTGTCTTATCTTAAAGGGTTTTCCTAAGTTAATAGCACTAGTTTACTCTCAAAACAAAAACATTGCTCACATCAAAGCAAATTCATCTACCTACATACGTATAAAAATAAAAATAAACATTAAAAAACAAAAACAACCCTAGGCCCTGGACAGTAGCTAAGTTAGAGCACTGTCCCGCTATACCAAGGCTGCGGGTCACGGAGCATATAAGAACCCAATCCACATATCCCATCAGTACTGCTGACTGCAGGAGCAACACTGAACAATCAATAGTGTGCTCAGTGCTTATAGGGACTGTGTGCTACAGTAAAGGCATGTCTAAATAAATCCTGAGGACACTGTGAAAACTACGGTAAGAAACATAAAATACTGACCAGTAAGCATGAGTACAAGTGTCTGCAGATGAATTATACTGATCTAACCAGTGAACCAGGGCATCGTCCGAGACCACCTGTGGAAGCAAGACAAAAACTCCACTGAAACAGGACTGTTATGCACAAACTGGTTGCCTAATCTGACCTGTAGACAACTTAAAATGATCTGACAGAATACTTGGCCCTTGCTACTAGCTGCATCAGAGGGCCCTGTGTCAACTTCTGCCATGAGGTTCCTCCTATGCAACACATTTTTCCAACAGCCGGCTTAAGGACCACTGTTTCCAGGTGACAACGGCTAGGAGAATAGCAGTGCAAGGTGATACTACTAATAAAATCAGTTTTTCTAGAAATCATTGCAAAATATAAACAGCAGTTCATCATAAAACCAGAGCTGGTGGGAGAGAATTTCAGTCTTCTACATCTTCCCTTTATTTAGAAACTTCTGATTTTACTGACATCACAAGCTGTTTGTTTTAAATAATCACCTTGCAGGTTTCCTAAAGGTAGATGACATTAAGACTGGATTATTAATATAACAAAATTTGACAGAAAATTTTTCTGGAAACAATTTTTCAGTAATAGGAAAAACAAAATAATTTTATATATAAACACAATGTCCTTCTAAATACAGCTTCAAACTTATAAAACAAGTATTTAAAGCAGTGTACCAATAAAAAGATACCTTCTTATATTTCTTCTTCAGATCAGCATGAATTTCTAACTTGAGCTGTTTCCCGGTATTTGGTCTGTAGACTAGGAACAGCTTCTTTTTGGGGTTCACCTCTTTGACCAAGACGGCAGTCTTCTTGTTGTTCCTTATCTGTCAGAGGGGAGACGCGGGGGGAGTGCGCTCGCGCAGGCCGGGCACGGGCAGCACAAGAGAACCGGCGCCAACAGGGGCGCGCGGACCCGCCCGAGGAAGGGCGGCCCGGCCCCTACCAGCTCCAGCAAGGGCCCTGCTCAGGGCAGGCGCGGGGCCTTGGTTCTGAGCGAGGCTGAGACAGGCCGAGGCCAAGGCGCTCTTTAAAAGGCCGTTTAGAATAAGGCTTAAAAGCACCCGGTGCAGACGCTTGGCATGTTCTAGTCCACGTACCTGACTCACAGTCCAACAGCTTCCGATACACTGAGGGAGGGGTCAAGAGAGTGGGTCTCCCCAGGAAACGCTTTACCTCTCCCATACGACTAAAACTGTCCATAATAAAATGCTGTAAAAAATATTACTCTCCTTCAAGTTACAATAAAATATAGCCTCCAAGATGATTTTGACCACCCCCAGTCCTGAGCTCATCTCATCCATCAGTGCCACCCACCCCCATGGCTGCCATAAGGGGTAAAAGCCAAAATATTGAACAAAACCTACATAACTGTACGCAGAAGTAAGAGAGAAGCGTGCACCAAACAACAGCACTTACATAAACAAATTTTTTAAGTGGGACTTATGAGAGAAATCCTAGGAGGAAGGAGCTATAAAAAGCCTATTTCATTAAAGGAAAAGTAATATTGGAAAATTAATCTCTCCTGTAAAGAATGGTTAACAAACAACTAAGCAATACCTCTGGAGGAAAACT